CTACAAGTGCATCTACTATCATACAGTGAGTCGTAATGAAGCAGAGGAGAGACTGAGTCAAGCAGACACTCAAGCAGGTACTTTCCTAATTAGAGATAGTAAAAGCAAACCTGGACACCATTATTTCCTCTCACTTAATTATAGAGTTACTATCCAGCACTATCGTATGAACAACGAGTTTAATAAGTATTATACAAGCCATGATCTCAAGTTTGACTCACTCAATGACCTAGTACATCACTACATGATGAAAGCTGATGGTCTGGCCTCCTCACTAACAGTTCCTATACCCAAACAAGCAAACACACCCATTGCAATGAATAAAGAGTGGGAAATTAAAAAGTCAAAAATTACGTTTTTTAAATGCATACATGTAGGAAAGTTTGGAGAGACATGGAAGAGTGATTGTAAAGGTAAAGGGCCAGTTACGATTAAAACAAACATAGCAACAAATATTACGCAAGAAACATTTCTTGATGAGGCCAACATACTGGGAAAACTTCATCATAAGAACATCATCAGTCTATATGGTGTTTGCACTGAAAGCTATCCTTTTTATATTGTAACAGAACCAATGAATGGAAACCTCAAAGGTTACCTAACTACAAATAACACTACACCAGCAGAGTTGGTAGATATCACTATTCAAGTTACTGATGGTATGAAGTATCTAGGAGAACAAGATTACATTCATTGTGATCTAAGAGCCATCAATATACTATTAGGAGATCATAACACTCTCAAGATAGCAAACTTTCATCTTGCTCAACACCTCAATAGCAATAAATACTGGACTATTGAGAAAGGAACTAAGCTAGCTATAAGATGGACAGCACCTGAAGGATATGCTTTAAACCGACTGAGTATTAAATCTGATGTTTGGTCATTTGGTATATTACTATGGGAACTGGCTACCAAAGGGGATCTACCATACCGTGGTATGACTAATAAAGAAGCAGTAGAATTAGTGTCAGAAGGTGATCATATATTCATACCCCAGGATTGTCCTGAACGATTTGATCAACTTATGATCAACTGTTTGAAATATTATGATGACAAGAGGCCAAACTTTAAAGATATCTTTGATGTACTTATCACATATGATACCCACGATACTTAATGATATATACATGTATATTGACATTAAGTCGTTACAGCCTAGGATATTAGTCCCCATCCTATTTTACCTTTCATCATTGATTCATTGCTCAAAATAATTTTGTGAATGCATCATCATCAAAATTAAGCAACAGAGACATACATACACAATACACATATGTACATGTATTCCAAATCTCTTATTCCCTCTCTCCCTATAACATACGTGACTCAATGAGATGGTTTTATCATTGACTCCATTGAGGTTTCCCTTCTTAGGACCAAACAATCTCCTCCAATGATAATGATAAGTAATACCTGGTGATGAATCAGGCCATGTACTGGAGAATATCTTAATATGATCAGTTGGTAGTGTAATAACTGGATGTTTATTAGCAACTGCTATTGTAAGGACTGTAGAAAGAGAGAGAGGAGGAGAGATGGAGGGAGGAGAGAATA